GCGCTCTCCCTGCCATCCATATGTATAAGACTCACTATGCAGGTTGCATACAAGCCTTATACACCTTCCAGGTATTTAAGTATCTGGTACAGGCAACTCTGTACCTGAGTATAGACACCCACACACAGACACTTTCCTAGCTGATCCTTGGAGAAGGGACTGCTCAAGACTGGGCTGCCTGTCCATGAAGCCTATTCCACACAGCCTTCTTCCTGAGAAAAACTCAAGGGCAGTCCCAAAATAAACTACTGGCCCCACAAACAATTCATGCAGTGTGGCCCCAGCAACCTCCTGTCCTGAGTAACAAACGGATGCACAGACATGCCGTGCACCGCACATGCAGTGAAGCCACTGCAGCTGAGGAAGAGTCACTAACCCCTGGGGAAGATGGCATCGTGATGATGCTGCCAGAACAATTCATCTGGCCCTGTTGTGAGGATCCTCCAGGAGCACTCCCAATGAGCTGTCCTGCCAGACTACGAGTTGGCTGTGCTGTTAAGAGAGCACTGTGCAGAAGGAGCACCATGAGGCTCTTCTGCAGAATCTTGTGCACTGTAAAAATGTGAACAAAAGATTCAGTGGCCTAGAGAAGAAGATGAAGTTAGGCTGCAGCTTAACTGCAGAATGCTCAGAGAAGCCTGTAGAAAAGGGATAGATGCTGCTATCTCACAGGCTGTGATGTACAGAACAAATAGCATTCAGGTGTAACAAGAGAGAGCATGGGTTATCTCCAAAAACTGACTTTGTTACTCTGGCATCCAGGGTTTGAGGCAGGTCAAGTCCCATTTCAAACATTTATTGTAGTTCTGAGAGTCAAAACCGCAATGCTCATAGGTTTGGCAAGTTAAAATGAAATAAACGCTTTAGAAGGAATAGACTGGATAGCTGTCAGTTCGGTGTCCAAGCACCTCAAATCAAACACTAGGGAACCACAGAGGGTCCCTCTCCACGGCAGGGAACACTTGAGAGGGCCCACCCCGGCTCTAAGCTTTCCGTATCTCACGCGAAGATCCCTTTCCCAGGCGCCCACGCCGGCGCGGCCGCGGCTGCTCCGCGCTCCCACCGAGCTTCTCCCCGCACACGGCGGGACCCGAGACTCCCCAGCCCCGGGGGGCACCGCGTTTCCCTCCCTCCCTCCCCAAAGGCAACCAGGCTCGACGGAGGTTCCCTCAGCCGGCGGGAAGCGCCACCGGCGCGGGCAGGCCGGGCCCGTGACGGGGCAATTCAGCGGCAGCATCCCCGGGACCGGACACCCACCGACTTGGTAGAGGCGGCCCTCGGGCGAGAAGATGGTGATGTGGCGGTCGAAGCCGGCGCTGGAGCCTCGGGACATGGCGGAGGGGAGCGGGGCAGCGCGGCCGAGGGGCTGCAGCGCGCAGGGCCCACCGCTGCCGCAGTCAGCGCCCGCCGGAGCGCTTCCGGGTTACGCGCTCCGCGCAGGCGCTGAATCTCGCACCGTCACGCTCCGCCACTGCGCGTGCCCGAGCACGGCGGCAGTTCTACCCCCCGTCTCCCGCCCCTCTGCCGAGCATGCGCACTAGAGCGGCTGCAGCGCCGCGGCTGGCGGGCATCTGCCGGCTGTCGTGTCGCGACATGTCTCCCGCATCGTGAGGGAAATGCAGGCCATCGCAGCGTGGCAGCTGTAACGCGTTTAACTTTCGGCTGCGCGGCGGCGGAAAGGTGGGCGGAGGCCGAAGGGCCGGCAGCCGGGCCCGCGGGGGAGCTGGGACCTGTCCGGTTGATCAACTTGTTTGATCAGATAGTTTCTGATTCGTGGGAAAACTCCTACATGTTCGACAGTCGTGAGAGACTGTGCACGGAGTAGTGGGAAACCGGAGAAAAGTATCATTGTGAGCTATACTGACAGCCAGAAAAACAACCCCCCTCCTAATTTTCTAAACAAAACATTTCCACGTGCTCTCTTCAATAAGTATAATTTTAAAGCAAAGAAATACACTGACCTCAAAAAAGATGTTTTAAGATACTCATAGTAATTAGTGTTGCAGCTGCATTATGATGTGATGTTTAAAAGACTTAACTTTTTATCAGTGTCCAGTACAAAGGGAAATTCCCCAAATTTAAACTCATGAATGTATGTTCTTTTTGCCTTTCAGCATCCTGGATTTCCCCTACTCTTTGTGGGAAGGCTTTTTTTATTTAAAGTTAGTCATTAAAAGAGTTGGAAAAGCTTTGTTTTGGTATCCACACCTCTATTTTAAAAGGTTATGCTTAGATGAGTTTACTCTTTGTTGAAATAGCAGATTACAGGTGCATTTTGTGTATCCCATACATTAAAAGTTTGCTTTCTTGAATTTTTCAATCTGCTTTTCCTTGCTTATTAATACTGTGTTTTGCTCTGTGTTACAAGGGGCAGTTTGTCCCTTCATTAGGGAAGCACTTTGTGGGCAGACATGACATGTTTAAAGCTGTGACACAAGCACTAGGACACAGAGAACAATGTAAGAACATCTCTGCTGGATCAGACATGGAGGCTGTCTAGATGCCCCGTCTCCAACTGTGGCCAAAACTGGATGCCCAAGGAAAAGTACTAAGACTACAGAGAGCCTTTAATGATACACTCCCTGAATCCTCTCCCAGTCTCCAACCATCTGGAGGGACTTCCCAAGGCAGAGGTAGTGTCTGGTTATTTAATAACCGTTGCCGGATTTCTCTTTCATGAACTTGCTGGTCTCCTCTTGAACTCATGTGAACTTCTTGCATCCATGACATGCCGTGGCAGAGTTGCTCAGCGTAACGACGCATGGTGTGGTTTCATCTGAAACCTCACCTTTCATCTGAACCTTCTATCTGTCAGCACTGTTCGGTGCCACTTTTGTACTGGTAGACAAAGCAAACAATCGACCCCTACGCATCCCCTCCACAACACTCATGATTCTTAGGACCTCTGTGTCTCCTAAGGCCTGTTTCTCCAGGCTGAGGATTCCTACCTTCACAGTCCCTCCTTCTATAACACTGGACTTTAATGCCAGACTTTTTTTTCCCTTGATAAAAAGGGGATGGGAAAATGGAAGTAATTATCAAGCATTCAGCCTGATTGTCAAAAAGTAACCAAGTGAGAAAATCCTTAAGTGTTTGGAATCAAAGATTCAATATTTGACTTAGACCAAAGAAAGAGTAATAGCTGCTCAATACTATGGACATGACAGAGTGGAAGTCATGCTACTTTCAGGATATAGCTTCCAGAAGTTTTTTCCACCTATGTAGCAATTTTATAATTTTCCAAAATACGGGTTTGTTTCAGAAAAGCAATTGTGTATTTTTGGTTTAGGGTTCATTACCTCTGATCAACCATATGAGTCAAAATCTGTGTTGCAGGGTCCTGAGGAAGATTGTTCTTACTGACTTGTTTTTAACATAGTAAACAATAAGGGGGTGATCTTGGAGGTGAAGCTATTAAAAAAATAGCTTTAGCACAGGCTGAATCAGTTCAGTCTTCCTCAAGTCTATCCTCCATCTCCGTGGCACCTGGCAGGCTAAACTGAGCGTATTTGCACTGTCAAGGTGATGGGGCAGTTCTTTGACTTACAGAATTGTAAAAACAATCTTCTGACAAATTTGAAATAAATCAGTTTGAGGAGTGAGAGAAGTAGAGCCAATCTCTCTGCTTTCCCAGGTGCATTCCAGAAAGCAGGTGATGTACAGGAGCTGGCATGTTCTGTCAGAAAAGGGGTCTGTGACGAACACTACCAACAACAGAATGAATTTAAAACCAAGGTTCTAGGTTACCTTAAGTGGTGCCCAGCTCCTCTACACTTTCTGCACAGTACCTGAAGGACATGACTGTATGCAGATCGCAGCTACTGGTTTATGAACTGATAACAGGAGTAGAACAAGTGTCAGGATTGCTCTCTGATGTGAAAAAAATAGCAGAGAACATGCTTGAATGCTAGGAGGCCTGAGAGAGCTTGTTGTGGGACACTGCAAAAGCTCAGAACTGCAAGTACTATACAAAAAGATCTACATGGTTCAGCTAAGTTTCAAAAAGAGGATTTTTCAGTGTACAAGACAAATGTGACAAAACCATGATATTTCATTTGAGATTAATGTGGCATTTTTATGTTTTTTGGGGAGAAAGGTTTGCATTAAATTGGTAAGTGCAATAAATTAGCATGTTTACCATACTTAAAAACGATAAACACTTTTCCTGTAACATATACTATTTTTCTTGCTTCATAACTTGGGATAGGTTTTATAGAAATCTCTGTACAACATTCCGTTGTTTTCCTATTATTGCCTGTAAGAATTCCTTTTTATCATCATTTTTTTTTTTTAAATTCATCCATTTCCATAAGCAAACTATTCCAGTGACATGAAATCCTGTCAGAAGCAGCAAATTTAAGAGTGTGAAAGAGCCACACAATATTCCACTGGCTGTTTTCTGATTCTTCAAAACAAAATGTTAATATATGTTGCTATAACACATCTCTTGCATTATATGTGATCCAATGAATTCTAACTAGCATGAGGAAGTATTAGTGGTATGAGTGTCTGGCAAATGGTAAACATACCATTTGACCTGGTTACCTCCATTTATGGGTGGTAGACATTGTGCAACACTGTTGCAAGGTCACCCCCACAAATTTTGAAGGTATTTTGCAAGTGCTACTTTATTTATTTGAAGTATGGAATTTATGAAGAGCTTGAGCAAAAAGTTAAAAAAAATCAACCAGAAGTTCCAGGAGGAAAAAACAAGTTTTAATTCAAATCACATTGAGAGGGTACAGAAATTGCCTGTGAAGATGGAAATAATGGACCTAATTGGTCCCTGCTGGGCCACCATTGATGTTAACAGATTTACTGCAGGACTTATTTTGACAAATGCAGATACTGATTTTTGTTTAGTTATGGACATCACACATTAATCCCATAATTGTATGGCTGAGTTCTCCTAGTCAGCAACAGTGTTTTAAAAGAAAAAAAAAAAAAGCAGCTTCAGCTTGTGCAATTACATTTTTCATCATTTCTGTTGAATGCAGAGCCATTTTCTTGGTACTTGATATGAGTATTTTTCCTCAAAAGTGTCTTTATAGGGGATATGCCATGTATCACCTGTAGTCTGTACCACACAGTCATAACACAAAGCAGGCTGTTCGATAAAGACAGTTAAAAACATTTTTTTTAGACTTTACACAATATATTACTAAAATGCTAGTTATAAGTAGCTATAACTTGCAATACTTACCTTAGAAAACTCCATAGATTAATCCCTTTAATAGCTCTCATTTATTTATATACATCAAACAAATTCTAAATTTTACTACTGGAGGAAAAACTAAAACATCTTCTAGTATTTTGTGGTCTAGGAGTCATTATAAATGGTTAAAATTCTCTCTTCAATCTCCACCAGATAATAATGATCTGAACGTAATGAATTCAATTTCTAGAAATAGCAAAATCACTGTTTTTCTGTTCAGTTAAATGAAATCACATGGGAATTAACTCAGGATGTGGAGTTTGTAGGCTTGAACTGGTCGGATATAATGACACTAACAACATCTTGTGTTTGTTCTTCCAGTGTACCTTTTTACAGAACTGACTTGCTCTGTGCTGAGGAGGATGTAAGAAAAGGGTTTATCACTAGCACTTTCAAAAGTATCTAGTTGAAAAAATAGAAACTATTTTTCTGGTCCATTATGTCATAGGTATACTAACTCAACATATATAACACAAATACAAAAGAAACATTACTGGTTGGCAGTTACGGTTCTCAGAACATACTATCACTGTGTATCTACAGTCTTGGAAGTCTGCTTTCCTGTGACAGCTTCCAGAATATGACTGGGAATGTCAATCATCCAAATCACTCATATGGGGATTAAGATGTGAAAATTACTAGCCCTTTGGTATAAAATAAAGAAACAAGGTGCAGCTAAAGCTGTGTTACTCAGGTAACCCTACATTCAGTATTTGGTTCCATAAAAAGAAACTCATATAGCAACACTGAATGAAAGGCTGTTGTTCTTATAAGCCTGTACCTCTGTGGTCTGTAATGATGAATATTATTTTACAGTTTTAACCAGAGCAGCAAGAAAATTAATCTGCATAGGTGCAGTATTCCTTTAAGGAGGTAATAACAATGCAGACAGACCAGATAACAAAAAACTGCATGATAGGGAATATCATGTGATGAATTTTTCTGTAGAAAAACCTTAAAACAGATGCACTCCTGTTAATGTACTGTTCATGGCTCAGAAGGATACACGTCTCCTAGACAATAACAGTACAGTATTCTGGTATAAGATGATAGTATGGTTGGAAGACTGTAGTTTCTGCGTCTGACTATAAACCTGACTGTTCTGGGCTTTCCTTCATGAAACTTTATACATAGGTTAGGTTAACATTACAGTCAATACTGAAATACCTGTATTTTCCTGCATTTTTAAAATCAAAATGAAAGAAATTCTATAGTACAATTAGAGGCATGGTATTTTATAATAGTCCTAAAGAGGAGAATAAGGTATTTCAAAGTTTAAAATAAATGAAAAAAAATTGTTACTTATGTTTTACAGCAATGGAAAGATTTGTATACACAAACATGCATTTACATTTACATTTTAAACATTTAGGCAGCATTTCTTGTCTTTTTGACAGTTTTCATGTTTTGTGAATACAGTGAATTTTCAGTAGGCATGGGAGTTTTGAGCTCATTGGTAGAAATTAATTTCTTAGACTCCAACAGGAATCTTTTTGCTTCCAGAGTTTGAAATTGTATATATTTAATGAATATGCTCTGTGTGCTTTCTGATTGCAGCAGAAAACTTACCGAAAAATGTATATGCTTTCCTTCTACAGAAGAGGAAAACACTATTTGGTGTCCCCGCTGCCACTTACGGAACAGATGACGTGTCAGACTGTCGGAAAGACAAGCCTTGTGATCCCGGAGGAAGTCTCTAGTAACAAACTTGCAATGCTTGCCTGATTGAAGAGTGGCATATAATAAGAAGGCATCATCTTCAGAGCTTAACAAAACAAATGGAAAAGACAGACGTCATTCACAAGGCAGTAAGTGGTTGCAGGAAATGAATCAAATGCTGATCTGAGATTTATTCATCAGCAACACTGAAAATTCCCATCACTACTCTAGTTCCCTGGTGAAACAAAGGACTTCTACTTACCACAGGGCACCAGAAGTTAGAGTGCAATAAAAATTAATTGCGTGCTACACAGAGCATTCTTCCCTCTTATCACAATCTCATAATACAACAAAATAATCTTTTGCCACATAACAGTGCTATGTGGAACAGAACTGCTAAATCTCATAAGGGTACCTCCAAAACTTTGCTGGAATGCAAACAAACAATCATCACAAGTGATAATAAAGTGTAATGTAGGCAACAGCAAAAATCTGTGAATCTCTGTCCTTACATGGGTAAATATACTTCCAAAAGTTCTATGATTATTTGGAAAATATATTCAACATTAGATGCTATGAAACTGAAACAATTTTAGGGAAAAAAATATCTAAAAATACATTTCTAGGGAGCATGAGATACCCTATACCTGGAGAATCTGAGCAGAACTTTGCTTGAAACCACTCTGTGATTGCTGTGGATTACTGTAATAGTAAGTGACAAGACATGAGATTAGCGAGGATTTCCAGTCTGTGGTAACAGAGTCCCTTTTGTTGGTGCTTAGATATCAGGAAAGAAAGCAAAGTGATTCAACAGCAAAGAGAACAAGAGCCAGAACTGGAGAGGGAATGAAGAACAGATCTGAAACAAGGATCCAAAAAGAAGAGACTTGGACTGGCTGTTGGGACAAGGAACTTGGTCAGAAGTTCTGGGAACTGGAACCACAGAAGAAACGGCAGAGACAGGTGAAGGATCAACAGTGCCCAGCTCAAATGGAGACTAGGTGGAGCTGGAACCGAAGGAAACCGAGACTTATTATATGAAGAAAATAGGGCAAGGAAAGGGGACACTGAGGCGGAGGCAAGTACCTAATTTAGAGACAAGGACAGGCTTGATTGGACCAGAGCAAGGGGGTTGTGCTTCTTAAATGAGGGAGGCAGAGGGTCTATCTCCACTCACAGAAACATTCTCCTCTGCGAGCAGCAAGGAAGACAGTGCTCCAGACTCTCCAAACTCCTGGGCTACCAAGCAACACTGGCCAGGCATGAGCTTCATCTACCCCCATGCAGGGCTGACACAGCAGACCACAACCATACACCGATGGTATCAGGTATTCTGTAAGTTCAGGCCACTGTGGTCTTGGCAGTGGTTTTAACAGTTATAAATCCTAATAAACCCTACAGATGTCAACATGATTCTAAGTGATTTAATTCTTCAAATGCAACTTTTAATATGTATTTTTTTTTGAAGCAAGTAGAGCAAGGGATATGTTTCTCTTTCACGCACACAGAGCTGGAGATACTAGTAATGGTACCAAAAACTACAGCTGTTTATACTGATTTAAAATGCACATAAATCAGGTGTTGATCCCCATTACATGTAGACATTTCTTAAACTTACATATTTTCAGCAAAGAAGAAGTCTGCCTTATTCTGCATCTCCTTCATAATTTTTCTTTTCCAGTTTGAAGAGTTAGCCAGCATGTGTTTGCGGCCCAACACAAGCAATCGGGCATTCTCTTTTGCCAGGCAGTTGACAGCATCAAGTAGCTGCAGAAAACAAAGAAAACCCAAATATTTTCTTAGCTGTAAAAACAGATTGACAGGAAACACTTTCACATCTGTATCTCAACTACTGGGACTTCTAGCATACCCTCATTTCCCACAGTTCTTAACTGCAATATGAGTTAAATAGATAACTAATTTAACTCCCTAGTGACAAAGAAAAAAACCCAAAACCAATTAATTGTAGGAAGATGCTGTCAAACATAGAGAAAATACATTGCTATTATAAACTTTTCCCAGCTCTTGCAGCTTGAACGACATGAATGAACTCAGGAAGAGTTGTATGGAGATTTCAGAAAGTCAGAATCAGCTGAGGGAACTGAATCACAATGGGATTTAAGTAGTATCTACTTTTGGAAATGATTCAGCACTGAAGCCTTTGCTGGTATTAAAGGAGGACCGAGCCCAAAACCATACTGCTTTTCCAGCTCCACCTATTGTCGAAATTAGAGAACTACATGTGATCTGGGCTGCCCTGGGGGGAAGAAGCAAGCGGCAGCAAGAGGAAATCTGTGACCTCAGGATAAAGGGTTTACGAAAGCCGCATCCAGACTAGCCTCCCACTTACCAACCAACATCCTGAGGTGGCACATTCACTGCTGTGCCAGCTTCTCTTCAGAGGAACTTTTCATCAGCCTCTTAGGGCTGTGCCTATTTGGCAGTAAGTTCTTCTCAGGACAGGCACTTGTGCCTGTCTGTGGCTTTCTCTCCCCACTTCATCCAGGCAGAGCTCACAGAGGGCAAAGGGTTTGGTTTTCAACATCCAGTTTATTACTGTGGACTGCTGACAAAGCAATGACATTTCAATTCTGCCCAGAAAGAGAAAACAACTCTTTCTTGAAATTGAAGCATTATGTTTGAAGGCTGAGGATAGTATGCCCAACACTAGGGAAAGGTGTTTCCTAATTTTTATCTGCATTTGCTGTCACTATTTGTCAATATACAATCTCCTGATTTTTCCCTAATCCTTCTTCCTGCTTTTCTAACTACTTCCCTCTTCCCTGTTCTCTCTTCTCCCTGCAATACCTCCAATTACCATTATCCTACTCTTGCTCTTTCCCCTCCTTTCCTCTTATTTTTTATCTTTATTGTTATTTGAAATAATTTATCTTTTCTCTCAGGGGCTAAAAAGAGTCGTTCTTCTAACTCTTGGGTACAATTTCACCATGCATTTAGTTTGATCTACCTGCCAACAGCAGTGAAAAGGACTGGTCCCACTCAATCCTCTCTTGAGCTGCACATTCCCACTCCTGTTGTGTCAGGTCTAAATGTCACAACTACCCACGAGCTCACTAATCCAACAAAAGAAATTCTTTGCAGGGTTGAGTTTGCAGCCACACAACTGATAGACCTGACTCAAAGGCGATGACTGATGGGATCACATCGCTGGAGGTGGTAAGGACAGGGAGTGTGGGACTGCCCCTCTCAGCAAAGGACCTGCAGGTGGATCAAATTAAATACGCCATGAACCTGGATCCGAGGATCTGAGAGAGGAGGCCAGAAGATCTTCTACGTTAATTTTAACTGTTGACCTATAAGCTACTGTTACCAGCACAGACTCTAAGGAACTGAAGGCTCTGTTTTCACAGAGACATGGAGTCTTGGTGCTAATGCAAAGCACAAGAGCCTAACAGGACCTATCGGAACTGATTTCCTGCATCCAGATCACACTGGACATCAGCTGTGCATGCATACAATCTACTTTTCCCTGGTTAAAACAAACAAGGCATAATGTGAGGAGGAAAATGCCAAATGCAGTCATTTCTGCCTGTAAAACAGCAGCTAAAATAAAACCAGCATTCTCTCCAGGGCATACCCTGAATCTTTGGAGATACGTTTTAGAATTCTTACTGGAACACAGAATTGGAAGATACAAACAAAAGCCACTGTTTTAATTTTCTTGGAAGGCTTTCAAAGTAACTATATTATGCAATAATGTGTCTTCTATCAATGCCACATAATTTATTTGATTATTAGAATCTGAGGTTATTAAAAATTGAAAAACTGAAATTCAGTTTTTCAATATTGACATTTCTTTTTGGAATGTCTTATCTGGGCAGTGAAAACTGGCTCATCAAATTTACTCGTTTACAGTCAGTTTTATTTTCTGGTTCTCATGCACTGGCACAGTCCTGCAAAAAGTTGGATACAAATACCAAAGGAGAATTAAGTTTGTTAAGCTGAGTTCATTAAACTTAATAAAGGTACCTACTTCATCCACACACATTTTCATGTAGAGAAGTCAACAGCGAAGAAGTATCAACCATGAGTAATTTAAGCAATCCCTTGCAAATTCCAAATTACAATACTTTCTCTTCTTGCCTAATGTTTTGCTGCATTAAGGGAAGGTTAGCAGAAAGGCGTGTGAAAAAAAAAACATTTTTCAAAGAAGGCTTCAGAAACTGATTCCACACAGTCTAAAATAAAAAACATGACAGCAGAAGCATCCTGATGGTACAGAAGAAGAAACAAATCCTAAAACCAGACTATGAATCAGAGTCTCAGGAACATAGCTGCACTAGTGGTACTGCAAATTAAATAAAAATTGACAGTATATGAAATGCTGGAGTTCACCCCCGATAAAAAAAGGAAACACCTTTTAATTACACTTAAAGTTCAATACAAAGGCAGCTGGATTTCTAGATACAGATTGGTCAGTTGGGGCTATTCACAAGTTTATAAAAAACTTGACTGACTTGGGTCTATCTCCCTTAAGTCTTTCTTTCTCAAGGTTATAACTAGTGGCACTTTGTACCTGTTAGTCACATGAACTTTCTTCTACACATTAGCATATGAGGTTCTCTAGTATGAAGTGCTTCGGGGAAAAAGTGGAGGTTGGTATAAAGTAGCTAGTTTTGCAGTGGAAAAACTCAAAACAGGCTTAATTTGTAATAAAATTAATGGGAATTGCCATTAAAAAAATTAGAAACTTCTGCTTGCATAACAGCACACTGTCCCTCACAGAGGGACACAGAGATCAACACTTACACAACTAAAACATGGAAGATAGAAATTATTTTTGCTTTCGTGAGATAAAAATGATTTTGTTCTGTACACTCCCTGGCCTAATGCAGCTTTACTAAAGCATTTTACTTCATTTTAGGCTTGGGTGCTTAACAGGGGTGGTCTACAGGGAGTCACAGAACTTATGTAGGGGTTTCCTAAATGTGTCAACGCCCACGCCTGGCTGCTTCTCAAGAAAGGAAGATGTGAGACACACAGTAACACTTGTTTTAGTCATAGAGGAAACTGAACATAATACTGTTAACAAAAAAACAGCAGTAGTGATCTCTCACTTAAAAAGACATGCGTAGTTTAGTAATCTAGTATTTCCAAAAGTTATCTAAAAATTATTATCAGCCATTACACAATGCAAATATGCTATCTGCAATAAGCTCTATGTAGATGCACCCTTTGAATGTTCCCACATTATCTGGGCAGCAAACATCAGATGGTCAGTTGGCGAATGTGTTCAAAAGGCAATCTGTATTAAATATTTAAAAATATACAACACACACATTCCCTATGCTACTAATCTTCTTGAGAATGAGGATTACAAAATTAGTGAAAGAATGACCTTTTATGAGAATTAGTATCTTTCCAGTTTGGACAGCAGAGTATATAAAAACACATTTTATCTGAAAACAAGAAATATAAGATGCCATTTTGCAAAGACGGGAAAATAAACATGGTTAGACTGGCTGCTTCAATTCATATGGCAAGATGTGGCTGAGGCAGAGTAGCAACAAGTCATGAATCGCTGCTGTTCTACACAAATTACTGGCCACACAGCAAGGCACTAGAAGTACTACTGGATTATACAGATAATTATCATTACATTCAGTCTTATTTTCGTTTCCTCTGACAGGGCACACCAGGATCTATGTTTCTTTCTGAACTACACAGACATTTTAATCAGCTGTTTGTGAAGATCACTAGATCCTTCTCCAAGAAACTCATGCTCATTAGCACCTGCTGAATACCTTCTGCTTGCAATTCCTTTGATCATTAATCAGCTACACTTAAATTATTCCCGTGCTGTCCCAGCCTCTGTTTAATTAGATCGTTCTGAAGCTTCTTCTAAACCTTAACACTTTTGTTACAATGAAAACAATTTTGTGTTCACAGCACTTCAGCAAATGACTCTGATGGAGCTAGGATGCAGCCACAAGGAAGTATGAAACTACACGCACTTGAATGGAAGTCAAGACAAGCTGTTCACAAATGTAGCAAGTGTCTCCCAATGTGGTTCTTCTAAGCACACTGCTAATAATTTTTCTATGCTTCTTTAATTATTAAAAATAATAAAAAATTAAATGGATGTATATTTCTAGTGTGCATGTTCTAACTCTAATTTCTTCACTCTAATCTGTGAATCAGTGAAAAACTAGCACACTTGTACAATACTTCGGCTTAAATGTATACATTTACCTTTCCTTGGGACAGTCCCAGAGATATGAGCTATTTCCCCACACGTAAATGAGCTCTTCTTTGTTTCTGCAGCGTGCCATTTTATGGAATTTCCCCTTCACCACCAAGCTTCTGCCCCCATATCACAATGTACCTTTTTATTTTTCCTGTTGTGCTGATATAATCTATTTCTTGGGCCATGTTGTCAACCAGGACATGGCACAGTCACAACTGTGCTCACACACCAGGGCAGGAACTTCTGGATCAGAGGAGTGAAAGTGTGGGGAGGCAGAGCAGGACAGAGAATGCATACTCCACAGGATCATGCTGATGTTGAACTTCTTGTATCATGTAAAAACCCTGAGCTTTGCAAGTGTGAAATAAGGCAACTGAAAATGCTGTAACTGGTAGTTTTATATTTTAAAAATCAGCAAGTTATACCTTAAAAGAACCACTTCTCAGGTAAGAATAAATATTAACAGTTTCCCATCAGAAGGGAACTTTTCTACGCAAATTCCTGGAAGTAGTTTTGCAGTCACCTACACTCACAATTCTGCACAATTCAGTGGGGTTCA